AGAGCGGTGACATTGATTCAGCATCTCGAGTGTTCCATGAGATGAGTGATAGAAACATAGTTTCGTGGAATTCGATTCTGTCTGGGTTTGTACGCAACGAAAGGTACAATGAAGCGCTTCTGCTCTATCGGATGATGGAAAGGGTAGCCATTGATGGAGATGAAGCAACTCTCGTGAGTCTTCTCCAGGTCTGCAAGTTCTTGGAGCTGCCATTGCAGATCAAGTCAATCCACTGTGTGATTATCCGGTATGGATACGAAACAAACGAGCAGTTGTCGAGTTCTTTGATCGATTCTTACACAAACTTCAACCTCGTCGATCAAGCGAGAATCTTGTTCGATGCCATGACATGCAAAGACGTGGTTTCGTGGAGCACGATGATCTCTGGATTCGCTCGGTCTGGCAGACCTGATGAAGCAATCTCAATCTTTCGTCGGATGGGCGACATTCCCAACGCGATCACCGTTACTAACCTTCTCGATGCTTGCTCAGTTACTGCAGATCTGAGAATATCTAAATGGGCACATGGAATCGCTGTTCGAAGAGGCTTCACCACTGTAAATGCCTCGGTTGCCACTGCTCTCGTCGATGCATACGCGAAATGCGGATCTATAGATATTGCCAAGAGAGCGTTCAATCAAATCCCGACGAAAAATGTCGTTTCTTGGACAGCGCTCATATCAGCGTACGCCATGAACGGTTTACCAGACCAAGCCTTAGCTGCGCTGGACGAGATGAAACAACATGGCGTCGCACCGAACTCCATAACTTATCTCTCAGCTCTATCGGCTTGCAGCCATGGCGGATTGATCGAACAAGGCCTCGGGATCTTCCATTCAATGATTCAAGACCATGGCAAGGTAAAACCTTGGATGTCGCCGCACTATTCTTGCATCGTGGACATGCTTAGCAGGGCGGGAGAGGTCGAGAAGGCGTTGGAATTCGTCAAGAACCTTCCGGAAGACGTCAATGCAGGGGTTTCCACTTGGGGAGCGGTTCTGAGCGGTTGCAGAAGCCATGGAAGAAGCGAGATAACCTCGGAGGTGGTAACAGAGGTTCTTGAGCTCGAACCGTCGTGTTCTTCAGGGTATTTGCTTGCTTCGAAAGCTTTCGCCGCCGAGAAACTATGGGATAATGCGGCAACGATGCGACGGCTGGTGAAGCAGAGAAGGGTTCGTGTCGTTGCCGGTTACAGTATGGTTCATGTCGGGAAGGTTTCTCGGAGGTTTATGGCCGGGGAGAAGGAGGTGGGACTGAGTGATGACTTCGAGATAAACGACGTCGTTTGGAGGCTGCATGAGTGTATGGAAATAGACGAAACTTGGGATGGGTATTAGGCCCAATGGGCCTGGCCTGATACTCATATGTGGAAACGACGTCGCTTTTGGTGTATGGGTTCTTCCACGTGGCCGTGTTTATCAGATGAAAAGGAACCGTGAAGACCCGATCCGCTCACAGACCCGGAAAGTCTCCCCTCCATTTTAATTGGCTGTAACCAACGAATCATTTCTTGTCTTTATTTCCGAATTCTGATTTTTTTTTTCTTCTCATTACACCTCTTTTTCCCGGAGTCATTTTCCGAACCGACAAGGATTTCTCGTTAAACATTTTTCTAGGGTTAGGGTTTCCGATCATTTGCAACCAACCCTGATTTGTTTGATTTCAGATTCTGCAAGTTGTGACGAAGAAGAAGGGGAAGGCTCCTCAGGGATAGATTGAGAATGGGTGCGGAGGGAGATTCGAGCGAGCCGCAGACCGTCGTCGATGGCGGTGGTGGAGGAGGAATAGAGATGGTGGCTGTGAACATCAGATGCTCGAATGGCTCCAAGTTTACTCTGAGGACGAGCCTCGATTCGACGGTTGGGTCTTTCAAGGCCCTTGTGGCACAGAACTCTGATGTCCCGGCGGATCAGCAGCGATTGATTTACAAGGGTCGGATTCTCAAGGATGATCAGTCGCTCCTCAGCTATGGTAACTTTTCGGTTGTCTTCTTCTTTGTGGTTTCATTTGGGATTTCTTTTGTTTTAGCGATTTCGTTGAAACGTCTCGAGGATCGAATTTGGTGTGAGTTGGATTTTCTGAAAACAAGTGATTGTCCCGTTGTTGTTGTTTGGTAGAAAAGTTGGCGATTTCTGGTTTTGTTGTTGTCTGAATCGTAATGCAATGCGTGATTTCCTTTCTATAGTCTATTATCATTTTACGGATTCTGATGTAGCTTTTCCTTTGCACTTTACTGATAACGTCCTAATGATTGCTTTCAAATCTCCTGTTTCTGAGATAGTTAACAGAAGAAGTTTCTGACTACCCTTTAAACTATTCATCATTGGTCATGTCCGTATTTTACTCCGGTGAAGGGCCATGGCCTTCCGATGGGTATTAGCGTGGATATTATTTGGCTGTGGAATATATTTTCAACTTGGTTCTGTAATTTTCTAGTATAATAATGTTTTTCAAGTGGTATAGCTTACCTCATGAACCTTACTGTTCCATTCCATGTGAATTATTTTATTCAAGGTTTGCAGGCTGATCACACTGTTCACATGGTTCGAGGCTCTGCCCCGTCTTCGGCATCTCCTGCTGCTCCTGCTGCAAATCCTGGAAGCCCAACCACTACACCTGCTGTTTCCCGAGGCGTCGGTTCAAACGGTAGTCCAAATCTTGGAGGAGCAGGTCTTGGGTCATCTTTGTTCCCTGGCCTCGGATTTAATCCATTAGGTGGTGGAAATGCTACACCTGGTTTATTTGGAGCTGGTCTTCCAGATTTTGAGCAAGCTCAGCGAGAGATAGCTCAGAACCCGAGTATGATTAGAGATATGATGAATACACCTGCAATCCAGAACCTATTGGACAACCCGGAACTTATGAGGACCTTGATTATGGGTAATCCTCAAATGCGTGAGCTTGTAGATCGCAATCCAGAGCTTGGCCATGTACTTAATGACCCAAGCATCCTCCGGCAGACCTTTGAAGCTGCAAGAAATCCTGAGCTTATGCGTGAGATGATGCGGAACACTGATAGAGCAATGAGTAATATTGAGTCTACTCCTGAGGGATTTAACATGCTTAGGCGTATGTATGAAAATGTCCAGGAACCATTCTTGAATGCTACAACAATGTCAGGAAATGCTGATAGCAATTTGGGTTCTAACCCATTTGCTGCTCTGCTGGGAAATCAGGGTGCTACACAAGGTAGAGATGCTTCTAACAATCCTTCCACAGCCAATACTGAAACGGGTACAGGGAATAGTGTCCCAAATTCAAATCCGCTTCCTAATCCTTGGAGCGCTACTGGTGGTAAGATACTAATTTCATCTTTTCGGCAAACTCACTCTAACTACATTTTGCATATTTTTATACCTGTAGAAGAGAACCAGTCACCTGCTTAGCAGGTACACTGCATTAGACATCAACATTAGGTTACCAATGAAAATGATTCACATGGATATTGGTTAAAGTTCAACTTTCCCGAACTGGTTTAGGGACAAGACAGTTTAATAGATATGTGAGTTATGTAGTTCTCACAATTTGACATCACGAATAAACAATTTGAAGAGCAATTAATATGTGTTCTGTATTAAAATTGATAATGTACTGCTACATGACAGGCCAGACTACTGGCCCTGGCAGGACAAACTCTGCTGGGGATGCGAGAGCCCCTGGCCTTGGTGGTCTTGGTGGACTTGGTCTGCTAGGGATGGATCCAGCTCTTGGTGCTACTCCAGATGCTTCTCAACTGAACCAGTTATTGCAAAATCCAGCCATATCGCAGATGATGCAAAGCTTACTTTCGAATCCTCAATACATGAATCAGGTTTGTGTCTTGAATCCTTTTTTTTTTTAATTCAGGCCTTGTTGCTACTAAGAACATATTGAGGATTGATCTATGGATTTCAGATCATCAATCTCAACCCACAACTCCGAAGCATGCTTGATATGAATCCTCAAATGAGAGAAATGATGCAAAATCCAGAGTTCCTTCGTCAGCTTACCTCCCCAGAGACAATGCAGGTCAGTTTGTCCCCTTGACCTGTTTCTTTGTTGTGTTTTGGTTTATGCATTATGTGGCCACTTCTAAGCATGATCCTTATTGCTGAACTATGTGATTTGATGAATTTTTCACCCTGTTGTTGTGGTTTTATTTTGGTTTGTAGCAAATGATGGCTCTTCAGCAGTCACTTTTCTCCCAGCTTAATAGGAATACGACTAGCCAGTAAGGCAGAGTTCCCTTGTTTCTTGCTTTAGTTTTTTTAGACTGGTTTGAATGGTGTAATTTCCACTTAATTACAGAAGGCGGGACTCATATACTGTCCCCTGTATATGCAATTCTTTCTGGTAACTAGCTGAATTGTTGAACTCTATAGATGGTGAATGGTCGTATCCATAAGTCGAGAAAGGATTGAAATCAAACTACTATGTTATCTACTACAGAAAGGTTTACCTATTTGTTCGTTCATGGGGTTGGGTTTAAAGCCTTTAATAAAGCTCTATGAGGGACTGCACGTTATGTTCCATCGCCAAAAGTAAATCTGAAAATAACATAGGAGACGATCTTGTATTCTATTTTATTTTTGCCTCCAACATAATTATTTTGCCTGATTCATGTTTATTTCTACTTGTCTCTTGCTTTTTGCAGGGATTCGGGGCAAACCGGTGCTACAACAGGTATTCTTGGAATTGGATATAATTGAAACGATTATTGAAAGGCTGGTATCGTATTTAGCAGGAGAAGAAGGGCTATGGTGGTTCTCCAAGTCAAGAGGAATGGGTACCCCACTTGAATGTTTTTTCAGGCGGCGGTGGTAATAACGCAGGGCTAGATATGTTGATGAATATGTTTGGCAGTCTTGGTACCGACAACCTGAGTGGTACGAATCAGCCCAACGGTCAGAACCTTTACCTTTGAAGAACCCGTTTTGGCCAACCCTTTTTCATCAACTTTTGGGTTATAATTTCTCGGTCTAATGTGAATAATGGATCTGCCATGTTGGTTTCTACAGTTCCACCGGAAGAGCTATACGCAACGCAATTGCAACAGCTGCAAGAGATGGGCTTCTTTGACAGAGAAGAGAACATCAGGGCATTGCGTGCTACCAATGGCAATGTCCACGCCGCCGTAGAGCGTCTCCTTGGAAATCTCGCTCAGTAGATGTAAGTGTGTTCCTGAAAGAAAAAAAAAAGAGAAATCGGTATCATGGAATCTGCATCTTTGTCTCTAGAGACGAACGAACGAACGAATGAATTCAGTCCGTGAAATCTGATATATGGTCATATGGTTAAATATATACATATAATGCGGCGTGAAGTTGTGGATACCCATCAAGCTTGTTGAGCCTCACATGATTTGCTTTCGGCTGGCTGCCCTCTTCTCCGTTTTCTTAGTTTTTCTTCCTCGCGTTGTCTTTTGTTGAACCGGTCACTGTACACTTGGACATATCCACTTTCGATTTTTACCCTTATCATGTGTTTAAAGATTGGAGTTTCATAATGCAATGCAATTTTTCATGCATCGGTGATATGTTATATATATGTATATATGTATATATGTATGTACGTATGTATCCTTACCATGTTCTCGGTGGTGATTAGGGATGGAAATAAGTCTTAAATGTTTATAATGACTTTTAGGATTTGGGGGTCAATCTCTTAAATATAATGGTCTCAGCTCAATGATTCTTGGATCTCTGTTGTGTCTGAATTCGGTCTTGTCGTCGGCTTCATGTCTCTGTTTGATGTTTTGCCATTGTTAAGCTGTGTGTGTTTTCTCATCTCTTTCGTTTTCACCCTCTTAACTCCCTTAACTAAACCTTATTAAGAAAGAAATTAAGGTCTAATAACTAGATTATCCAAAACATAGGCTGTTAATTTAAAGATAACATAGTTCCTCAATCTCTGTGTCCTTTGGCTAGGGTTCAGAGAATCAACACAGATTGGATTCGAGTGGTCTTTTTCTCACTCTCTCATCCGATAGTAACCTCGATCTGAATCTAAGATAATGTTTTTCTAATACTTGTTCCATGACACGACCATCAATATGTAATGTATTATATAAATGATGAATCTTTAAAAATATAATTTTGTGGAGATTCAGATGCGTTATAGGGAAGCACGCGTACACACGAAACCCTATAATCCCACTTTTAATTAGTACTATTATTTTGTTCAAATGTCGTTCAGACATATATATATATATATATATATATATATATATATATATATATATATCGAGTAGTTGCAACACACACCACAACACATGAATATTCAACCATCGGTTACACAGTACAACATAATATACACACGCCCATACATACATGTGCATTACATTATACATACACATGTGTATGGTGTGTGTATGGTGTTATGTGGAGGGCACGTAGGGCTTAAAAAATTGCATGATTATATATATATATATATATATATATATATATCATCTGGAATTAATTGGATATTTTAGGGGATTAACTTAATTTAATCTTAACCCCCCGGCTTTACACCTCATCAAACTGACGACCAAACATTAATTAAAATTAGCAAATTGGTGCAATTATGTTGAGATTTCTTAACTTCTTGTGTGATGTCACCGGGGGGTGGCGACAAATTTAATTAAGCACCTCGCTTTCATTATTATTAAATATTAATATAATTAAAAGGTCATTAACATAGTGACATCATCTTCCATTATCGCAGGGTTTGCTTCTTTCTATGTGCATACATATTATACGTATATTTAATATTCATTTTGTTAATATTAATTTGTGTACAGACACGCACACAGAGAAGCGGTAGCAACAACGGGTTAATTAGATTAGTGGCTTAATGACGCACTAATCAGAATTCTGTCTAGGGTTTTGGTCACTTGCACTAATGTCGCCCATCGGGGAAGTTTCAGCTGATGTTTACGTTACACGTAAATACGTGTATATACGCGTACGTACGAGAGAGCATATATATATATATATACACACGTACATGTATGTGAATGTACTTTAAAAACTTAATTGAAGTATAATTAAAAGGTTACTTTTTTTGAGTGTTTCCTGGAAAAGGACATGCGTAGGCCTTGCCGGTTTCAGACAAAGCAATGAGGTTTTATTACATGAAAAGCAAGAAGAGGAGATCGTGTGGACGATAATGTCTTTCGTATGATAGAAAAAACAATGATATAAAAGTGAATACATACATATATATGTATATGTATATGTTGAAACGTATTATATACTCGGAGATTTGAACTAATCGCAACTAAAATGGGAAAATCAGGATTAATTAAGAGGGTTAATTAATGGCATTTTGTTTCGTCACAATTGGGATGCGGCGAATCGGGAGGATGCGGGAAAGGGCCACGGCTCCCCGGATTACTGGGAGCCATTTGATCGTTACTTTGTGCAAATTATACATATATATATACATATATATATATATGTATGTATGTATGTATGTATGTAATAGTTTCTCTTATCAATTCGTAATTTCGTATGTATATATGTCATTTATGGGTGTGGAACAAGCCTTTCCCGTTAGTAATATATAGTTGGATATGAGTTTTAAATTGAGACGTTTAACATCGTGATTGTTAGGATTTGTCCGTTTCATGAAGGATTTTACTAAACTACATAAAGTAGTTATGTAGTTTAATTTAAAATGATTTTTAATTTTTCAGGACAAATCATTTAATGAGATTTCATACATGCATACATACATACATACATACATACATACATACTTGTTAGGATTTGTCCGTTTCATGAAGGATTTTACTAAACTACATAAAGTAGTTATGTAGTTTAATTTAAAATGATTTTTAATTTTTCAGGACAAACATACATGCATACATACATACATACATACATACATACATACATACATACATACATACATACATACATACATACATACATACATACATATATATATATATATACATATGTAGAATGATCAATTGGAGAAATGCATGTGTCGAGGTGAGATTGGAGAGTAGTGGAATCGCCGAAGAGTTGGACTGTGTTACATAATCATATACGACTCGTTAAACACGGCTTCGTTTTCATTGATTTATATTTTATATATACAAGATGAATGAATTACGTGCACAAATTATATAATTCGAAATTTGTGAATATACAGATGTTTGGAGGCTTATTAATTTGTCATGATCTATACATTAAATATAAACTGAATTTATCTTTTGAATCATTATTACTTGAATTTAATTAACAATAGAATTACAAACTTTTTTTTTATATACTTTGAATGATACGCCATATATATACCGATGTTTCATGTCGGCTAATTAGTTTATGGGGGTTATATTGTTTATATGATCATATATTTGAGAATAAACCATATCAATTAACAATAATTTACGTTTTTGTAATTATGCATATTAAAATATCACATTTTTATTGAATAGTATATATCATATATATAAATATGAAATAAAAGTGTGATTTGATTAAAAAATGGGACAATATATATATATATTACCGAGCTGGCTTGATATTTCTATATATAGTAAATTGATTATATGCCCTAGTTATAAAAAAAGAAGTCATTAATTATGGTGTGAACTGTGAAGTACACAAAAATAGGGCTGATGTCAGAATTAGATAATCTTAAAGAGTTGTAAAAAAGAATCTTTGAGGGTCAAATGATTAATGAACCTCTTCCACGCGACATTTTCTTCTGCAAGAATCTCTCTCCCTCTCCCAACCCCATTGATTCACCTGTTCACTGAACAAAAGTACACATTGCACACGTAATCAATGATTATTATATTAAATATTTTTTTTATTGTTAATACTTAATTGCACTTTGTATATATAACTAAAAAAGAAAGTAAACGGGCAATGAAAGAATCCCCGTTCATTATACTTATACACCCCAAAACTCACCACCAGAGCACATTTTTAACGCACAAGCTCCAAAACCGCCAAATTCTCTCTCTCTCTCTCTCTCTCTCTCTCTCTCTCTTGGAGGAGAGAGGTGTTGGAGCCTGTAGAAACAGACAAATCAGAAATTTGTGTACTGAAGGTGGAGTTTTTGAGTTTGCTTGCAAGTGTGATACAACAGGGAAGAAATCTGATCGGATGTTCATAAAAGGGTCCACTTGGTTCTTGAGGAAAGACACCGCACGCCCACATGGGTGAGATCAATACTTAGACTGATTTCACCGTTTCAGCTGCTGCTTCTGTAAAAAAAAAAAAACCCAAAGCCTTTTCTGCGTCTCGCCCCTTCATCTATGTGACTTTTGGGTTTGTGTACGGAGAAAATCTTTGTTGGCTGACCATTTGGTTTTTGGTTGTCTTCTTGGCTTCTGTTCATCTGAAACCCAAAGTGAAAATCTTTTGGTCTCTACTCTTTCTTCGTGCAAGGAATCTTGATAAAAGTGAGCAACTTTTGCTTTTCTTTAGATAAGACATGAGAGGATTTCTGGAATTGGGTTTGTCTTCTTTTTCCCTGTTCTGGGTTTGTGTTTTTTTTTTCTGCAGGTTGGAGATTTTTGTCTGAAAACCAATGGCATGGATTTGCTGATTCTTCCTTTTTTTCACACCTTTTTGCATTGTTTGTCATCTGCATGCTGTTGTCTTGTTGTTTGTTTGAGGATTCAATAATTGCCCAAGAGTTGATTCTGCATATTCAGTGTTTGTCCATAGGGAATATATATATAGTACTCTAAGCTGATGATAGCCTTCCGGAGTCAACTCTCCATAGAAGCAGCGAAGCTGTTTATATTATAAGCTAACTATGATTTCATCTTTTTTATTCTTTTTGAATCTTTTTGTTCTTGATTGCAATTTCCGTATAGGCATCTTGTTTTCACTGAAACTTTGCACGTGCGTTTTCATCTTCAGGAGGCTTCTGCTTGCCATCTCAATTTCATGAAGAACAACAAATTTCTGAGAACTGAAGGTTAAGGACGATTCTCTTGGACGAAAGATTGAAGAAAAGGGTACAGTTCTTTTTGGTTATGGAAGGTGGTAGCGGTGGTGGTGGTTTCTCGCCCAATTCGAGCTTTGGGACATTCCCTGAGACGGCTATGGATTTGGATTTCATGGAAGAACTCTTGTTTGATGGATGCTGGCTTGAGACTACAGATGGTAAAAGCTTTAAGCAGCCAGGGCCTTCCCCTTCAAATTCTAACTCTGTGAAGGACTCGCCTTTCCTGTTCAGGTATCAAGATCTGAAAAGCAGCAATGTTGGATTGAACCCACCTCAGAATACCTCCAACGGCGAGACAGAAAGCAAGCTCCCTCCATCTCCTACTTATCTGAAGAAGATTCAGGACCTCCATGAAACCCATCAATCAATGGATCAAGAATCTTTTGATCTTGCTGCAACAAGTTCAACACAATCAGAGAAGTTACTTGTTGAAGGGGCTGAGGCAGGAAGAAGATGGTGGATTTGCCCGGCTCCTTCTTCATCAGTAAAAGACAGGCTTGTACATGCTATACAGCATCTGCAAGAGGCAGTGATAGATAAGAATTTCCTCATACAGATATGGGTGCCATTTCAGAAGGGAGGTAAAAACTTTCTTACCACACTGGAGCAGCCACACTTGGTCAACCCAAAGTACTTGAGCCTTCAAGAATACAGACATGTTTCGGAGAAATATAGCTTTCCAGCAGATGAGGACTCGAAGGAATCCGTAGGACTTCCTGGCCGTGTTTTCCTTGGGAAATTGCCCGAGTGGACGCCTGATGTGCGTTTCTTTAGAAGCGAAGAGTATCCACGTATCAAAGAGGCACAGAAGTGCGATGTACGTGGGTCACTTGCCCTTCCTGTCTTTGAAAGAGGTAGCGGAACTTGCTTGGGTGTCGTTGAGATTGTCACAACAACTCAAAAGATCAATTACCGACCAGAACTTGAGAATATCTGTAAAGCTCTTGAGGTTTTCTTCTTCTTCTTCTTCTTCTTCTTTGTTGTACTTCAAAATCTAAACATTGAACTACTGTGTATATATACATACCTGCAAGTCTGATAATGACATCATAGAAAACTGACTGAACTTTATGGATAGAAGTAATCATATCCCCTCATCCTTAAACCTTTTTGCTTTCCAGCGAGCAAAAATTTGAGAGGGAGAATTGTTAGCCCATTATGTCAAAATTCTTCGGAATGTTGTGAGAAGTTAGTGATTGTTCTTTATTGTAGGCTGAAGTCATTAATGTTTTGCAGGCCGTTGATCTGAGGAGTTCAAGTAATTTGAACCTTCCAAGCATAGAGGTGAGTTTGACCTGCTTCCAGAACCAACTCCTTTCGTAAATACTCGGAAATATGATGACCTGTTACTGAGATCATACCCTTATTTTCAGTTTCTACAGGTCTATAATGAATTCTATCAAGCAGCATTACCTGAGATATCAGAGTTTTTGGTCTCGGTCTGCACTTTATATGATCTGCCTCTAGCTTTAACATGGGCACCGTGTGCTAGGCAAGGCAAAAGCGGATGCCGGCATTCTGATGAGAACTACTCTCAGTGCGTTTCAACAATTGATTCTGCTTGCTTTGTCCCCGATGAACATAGCAAGAATTTTCTGGAGGCCTGCTCCGAGCACCATCTGCTTCAGGGGGAAGGAGTTGTAGGGAAAGCATTCAAGATGAACAAACGATGTTTCGTGCCTGATGTCACCACATTTTCCAAGACCAACTACCCTCTTTCCCACCATGCTAAGATCTTTGGCCTGCATGCTGCTTTAGCAGTTCCAGTGAAAAACAAATACACTGGGGCAGTTGAATTTGTGTTGGAATTCTTCCTCCCAAAAGCCTGCATAGATACCGAATCACGAAAGGAAATGCTCATCTTACTGTCCACGACTCTGGAGCGAGATTTCAGGAGCTTAAATCTCGTCGTTGACAAAGAAACAGAGGAAGAGGTCATATTACCTGTCAGAGACACCATGGTCTTCTTAGATCATCCACTCGGTGGTGGAGAAGCAACACAGAACTTGAAATCTTCGACTTTGACAGAAATTTCTCGGGAAGAATCCTCGTGGATCTCCCATATGATTATTTTCCGGATTTGATAAGATCTCCATTATACGATGGAAAGCATTCAAGATGAACAAACGATGTTTCGTGCCTGATGTCACCACATTTTCCAAGACCAACTACCCTCTTTCCCACCATGCTAAGATCTTTGGCCTGCATGCTGCTTTAGCAGTTCCAGTGAAAAACAAATACACTGGGGCAGTTGAATTTGTGTTGGAATTCTTCCTCCCAAAAGCCTGCATAGATACCGAATCACGAAAGGAAATGCTCATCTTACTGTCCACGACTCTGGAGCGAGATTTCAGGAGCTTAAATCTCGTCGTTGACAAAGAAACAGAGGAAGAGGTCATATTACCTGTCAGAGACACCATGGTCTTCTTAGATCATCCACTCGGTGGTGGAGAAGCAACACAGAACTTGAAATCTTCGACTTTGACAGAAATTTCTCGGGAAGAATCCTCGTGGATCTCCCATATGATGGAGGCAAACCGGAAGGGAAAAGGTGTCTCTCTCTCTTGGGAGTATCAGAAAGAAGAGCCGAAAGAAGAATTCAAGATGACAACTGGGTGGGATGACAATCAGCCTGATCCAGACCACCATAATTTTCTTTCGGGAGCCGGGCAGTTTCAGCGGGGTTCAAGTTCAGGATTCATGATTGATATTGATCCTAGCATCGAATCACCTCCCTCGGGTGGGGGGCAAACATCAGGCAATAGAAAACCCGGTGAAAAAAGAAGAACAAAAACAGAAAAGACAATCAGCTTGGAAATTCTTCGACAATACTTTGCAGGAAGCCTCAAGGATGCAGCGAAGAGCATTGGTGGTAAGAAGTTGTTCTGTCCTGCTGGAGACATTGCTCCACTCTTCTTCCAGTCATATTTTCCTTGAATGATGATCCTGTGGAACTTGCTCTGTCCCTGTGGCATACACCACATGAGTTGTGAATTCTTCTTATACTTTCGGAAAAGTATAAACTTCACCTAGCATGGTCTAAACAGTGGCTCTTAATTTGAATATGACGCGTTATATTAATCCATATCCCTGAAAAAACCAACAAGGGCTACCTTGAAAGCTCCATGCCAAGTATAATTGCACAAGTCTCAAACAAAAATGGGCTCTATTGTCTTCCAGCTTGAGCTATAGCCTTGGTTCTGTCCTGATCCATAGATCTTTTTATCTCGCCACTGATGATTTACAGGGTTTCATTTTTGTGTTGCAGTCTGTCCAACTACTCTGAAAAGAATATGCAGACAACACGGGATAACAAGATGGCCTTCCCGGAAGATCAAGAAGGTTGGGCACTCGTTAAAGAAACTCCAGCTCGTCATGGACTCTGTTCAAGGCGTGCAGGGCTCTATCCAACTCAATTCATTCTACACAAGCTTCCCGGAACTAAGCTCTCCAAATATGTCTGGTAGTGGCCTTTATTTGAAGAGTAATGACCAGTCAGCGCATTTGAACACTCAACCCGAGAATGGTGTTTCACCACAGGAAAATGCAACTGCCCCGAGGTCCCCATCATCTTCGTGCAGCCAGAGCTCTGGTTCAAGCACATGTTGTTCAACTGGAGCTAATCAAAGTACCAACACTGCAAATACTTCAAACACTGCAATCCCTCTGGTGGCTGAGAATGCAGGTGGAATTTTGAAGAGAGCTCATAGTGAGGCAGAACTACATATCGTGAATCAGGAAGAACCGAAGGTTTTCTGGCGAACCCAGAGCCATAAAACATTCAACGATCATCCTCTTCTCGAAAACTTACCTCCACTACCAGGCAGTAGCAGAAGGAGCTTAAAAGCTGGAGGCGCTGTAAAAGTGAAAGCCACATTCGGTGAAGCCAAGGTACGACTTAGCTTGCTCCCAGGTTGGGGCTTCAAAGAGTTGCAGCAAGAGATTGCCCGGCGTTTTAACATAGATGATATCACCAGATTCGACCTCAAATATCTGGATGATGATCGTGAATGGATTCTTCTGACATGTGATGCGGATCTCGAAGAGTGCATCAACATATATAGATCATACCAGAGCCACACAATCAAGATCAGTGTTAATCAAGCGTTTCAAGTCAAGCTGGGAAGTTCATTTGGTAGTGCTGCTCCTCTTTCCTGATAAACAATCAGGCAAGTCTGTGACTGGAAAACACCAGGAAGATTCTATTGATTGCTAGTGTGTTAGAAATCTCACTCACCATTTTAGCCTAGGCCACAGTTTGTAAACATCTTTACAAGTGCCCTTGATCATAAATGTCATTTTGCAAGTAACAGTAACCGGTCTGCATTGGCTTAGTAGATTTTTGTATAAAAGGCTATGCATTCCAAAGACTTAGGTGTTGTGCTTTGTGTTTGTATATCATTTATCGTTGGGATTCTACCAATAAGACCTATGTTTTTGTATTTATTTTCAGGTTAACATGAATGAAATTTGGAACTTGTATGCAAATTCAATCATCTATTGTTTCATTGGTTCCTTCTCAGCAGAAGAAATTACCAGAATGAACTTTTGTTTGCAAGAAAAAGGTCGTCATGTTACCTGTGGACGGGAATTTCAGGCCAAACATCTTCTCAGCAAGTTCATTTGCCTCTTGCTTCTTTCCCCTTTCACCCAAGCCATCAATCACAGGCATGAATGCTGCAGGGCCAAAAAGCATACATCCATTGTCTATCATCTTATGCAAAATTCCGCTAGTCTCTACCTCTACCTTCTGACATAAAGCTCTCAGTAAGATCCTTATGGAGAAAGCGCCCCAAACCCAAGTAAAAACCTCTCTCCAATACAGCTTCTTCGTGCGAAGCAACTCATTGAACATCAGACTGTAAAGGCTTTCCTTTTGTCCACAGACATTGACAGCAGTCCCAAAGATTCCTGAGCATTGTTAATGTTAGACACTTTACATACGCTTTAATTGTACATTTGAAGGAAAATACATTGAGGATTGCGTACTTTTGCCTTGTCGATGAGACCCAATTTGGCGAAGATTGAGACGCCGGAGACAAAAGAAGAAAAAAAATCCGCCTTTTGGGTTTCTGAGAAGAGCATAAGACGGTGAAGATGGTCGATTTCTTCGCGTATTTTGGCGCGAACGAGGATATGGAAGATGGTCGGCGCTGCAACATGGGAGACGATTTGGGTTTGGTCCGAAGGGGAAGAGGAGGTTCTCTTGAAGATTCTCCATGCCAATCTCGTACTGTTCGTGTGCTTCCCAAGAGCTTCTGCAGTTCTGCTAGTGTTAGTGTACCACTTTGTTCCATGAAAAAGGCGCGGAACCATGGATTCGGGGATGTAATTGACCATGGCCTTTTAAATCGGGTTTCAAATAGAAATACCAAATTAATAAGAGGGGAAAACATAAAAAGGTAAACATTTTGGGGTGGTTCTATAAATACCGGAAGTTACCGAAATTGCATCCCCGTCGGCCTCGATCCCTCCAAGCGCCTCATTGTCTTCTCGATCAACCTTTCGGATTTAGACCCTAAATTGCTGCAGAGATGTCTCGCCGATCGATCTTGCTCCTGAAGAATCTAGCGAGGAGCACGACCGGGTCAGGGTCAGGTTTCCAAACCCGTTCCGTGACTTACATGCCTAGACCCGGAGACGGCGCGCCACGGCCGGTGACGCTGATTCCCGGCGACGGGATCGGTCCGCTTGTGACGAACGCGGTGGAGCAGGTGATGGAGGCGATGCACGCGCCGGTGTACTTCGAGAAGTACGATATTCACGGAGACATGATGAAAGTGCCGCAGGAGGTGCTCGATTCGATACGGAAGAACAAGGTGTGTCTGAAGGGTGGGCTCAAGACACCAGTCGGTGGTGGTGTAAATTCGCTCAATGTTCAGCTGAGGAAGGAGCTTGACCTCTACGCGTCGCTGGTCAACTGCTTCAATTTGCCAGGTTTGCCCACTCGGCACGAGAACGTGGACATCGTTGTGATCAGAGAGAACACTGAAGGCGAGTATTCTGGGCTTGAGCACGAGGTTGTTCCCGGTGTTGTTGAGAGCCTTAAGGTATAAACCCCTCTCGAGGTTCCTGATTTTTCCCTGATTTGAATTTTGTTCTTCTGGTGATGCTTTGGTTCATATGGGTATAAAGTCGTATGCTTTGGGTTGAAAGTGTGATTTGGGTATAGCTTTTAGGAATACCTTTTTATAGTCTCTCCGCCTTGATTTGTGATTTTGGAATTTTAGTTTGGAGAGGAAGGATTTATGGTGACTTTGAGATGAACGTATAAACGAGATTATATACTCTATGATGTTTGCAATTTCTTGAATCTCTTTATGACCATCTTGTTGAATACAATCCAATCCTGTTAGTGTCGATTCTATGAATACAATAGTTTGTTCAGACACAATACTGATTAGTCGTGTAATCTACGAGCCAAGTTCTTTTCCATATCCTTTATTCCGTCTGTCATTTGTGCTTGCATTTGTAGATGCATGTCGGTTTGCATCTTCTTTGGTTCCATATCAGCATCTGATCCTATTCCTCTGCTAGGTGATCACGAAGTTCTGTTCTGAGCGTATTGCCAAGTATGCTTTCGAGTATGCATACTTGAATAACAGGAAGAAAGTTACAGCAGTGCACAAGGCCAACATCATGAAACTTGCGGATGGTTTGTTTCTGGAATCTTGTCGAGAAGTTGCCAAGAAGTATCCAAGCATCACCTACAATGAAATTATTGTCGATAACTGCTGCATGCAACTTGTATCAAAGCCAGAGCAATTCGACGTCATGGTATGTTTCAGACTTCCCCTTCTACAAGAATTACTTATAGATGGTAGAATGCATTCATGCATATGCATCTTCTCCAGTACACCTTGACACATCATGTTATTCAATATTTCTTGGTTGTTTTACTTTCAAATATGCTATTTATCTCTGACAGGCATCATTTGTTACCAATGGTGTGTTTTTGGCCATCTTTCTAAATAGTGAGTGGTATTGCAGTGATGCTTAACTTTTGCATTTCGGAAGTTTATAGAAATATTTGAGTATTATGAACTTATGTCCTGCCTAAATGTTTTGAGTACTGTTATTGATTTCCATCTGTCTGTGCTGGGAAGTAAGTGGTAGAATCAATGAAAATTCGGATTTGAATCAACTAATGATCAAAAGAAGAAGATTCTGAAATCCAATTGTCTCCATTTCCCGTGTATATTATTCAGAAATCTCTATAGTATGTTGTTACTACGCCTATTCTCTTCTCTCAGATTTTTCTGCTTTAAAGGTTAAAGCTTACAATCAGTAATTCCCGTTTCTGTTTTTCGAATAGGGGGCCTATAAAGTATAAATATTCTGAGGATTAGGCGAAGTATATCTAGCTGCCTTGCTCAACTAGCTCAGTAGAGTAGACATGTTTCTTATCAAAGTCACACTTTGTTTTATGATATATATATATTGGAGTTGCCTAGCAATTAGCATGAATACTTTGATTTCAATCTGAATAGAGCAATCTCCACTTGGGGATAAATGTTTCTCTGCCAAGTTTTTTCTACTTTTAACGTTCCATCTTGGCAACACTTGGTGTAGCTTTGACAAAGCTTATTTTCTTCATTTTCAGGTAACTCCCAATCTCTACGGGAATCTCGTTGCCAACACTGCGGCAGGTATTGCCGGAGGCACTGGTGTAATGCCTGGAGGTAATAGTTTCTACATTTACCCTCTCAAGCAAGTTTTGGACAAGACAAGGTCAAGATTGAAATTGTCGGCTTATTGTGTGGTAAAAGAAAAATGCTCTGAACTTGTATCTCTGAATGAAAACAAACAGGAAATGTCGGAGCAGAGCATGCGGTCTTTGAGCAAGGAGCATCGGCTGGAAATGTGGGGAAGGACAAGATTGTGCAGCAAAAGAAGGCAAACCCCGTGGCATTGCTGCTATCATCGGCCATGATGCTTAGACACCTTCAGTTCCCTTCATTTGCTGACCGGCTGGAGACCGCAGTGGAGCGGGTCATCTCTGAAGGAAAGTATCGGACTAAAGATCTCGGTGGAGACAGCACCACCCAAGAGGTCGTCGATGCGGTCATTGCGAATTTGGACTGACTGATAAATTAGAAGTTTCCCCATATAAATCAATCAAATTCCAGATTTCTCTGCTGCAAGATTGCCAAAGGTGTTATGATTCACACTGCCCTCTGGTTCTGTACCTCTTTAGTATTCTACATTCTTTCGAAACAGCTCAAATATGGGTTTTCGTCGATCAAACGTCTGTCAAATAAGTATTGCTGCACCGATTGAATTGTTGGGCTCATTTCTGAAATTGTGATCTTAGATCCTCGAGAAGAGAGGCTTGAAATGTTTCTCTGGATCTTTTTTTGTTCTTGTGACATGCAACTCTTGCCTTCTTGTCAAAGTTCTGCTGCTTTGTTTGGTAAACCAGTTTCAGTAGCCAAAACTAGAGCTCATTCTTGGGATCTTCTCTAAGGACATTTTGGTAAAGATAGTTCAGTATACACACATTGTTTTTTTGGATTGGAACTGAATTGGACATACATAAATTAACAAGCAAATGAGCAAAACATAAGCCTCGAGAATGAACAAGAGGACCATCGCAAAACAGGAGCCGTTGAAATCACTTTTTACCAGAGAAGATGAAGACAGAGGAGCACCAACTGAACAGACACGACCGAGAATTTCCAGTCCGAGTGGAACCTTGAGCCATGGTTCCCCGAACGAGACCCTGCTTATGGACATGGACAAAACCAGATTTCAGTTAGTAACCATCGCTGCTGTGTGTAATGAAGCGCCATGCCTAGAGAAGAACGTGAAGATATATTGACAAAACCAGACCTGGACAAGAATCTGGAGAGAGGGTAGTGAAGATGGTCTGGTTGGAGAAACCAGCGTAAGCGCATGAACGAGGTCCGCAAGAGCTCGAGGTCGTGTTGCCAATGAGCAAGCTCTTTTGTCCTTGGCATTGCATGGAAGGGCAAGTCTGCCAGTTCGCTGGCTTAAGCTGAGACGGTTCGCAACTTAACCTGGCCATGAAATACAGAGGAAAAGACCTTAGGATTATAGAAATATCGGCACGAGCCGTCATGTACTATGAGGTTATTTCACATGGAAACTTACGTCCAGTTTCTGGAAGCATTGCAGGAACACTTGACGCAGTTGTTGGCAGTGATGGTGTACGAGCCGTTCACTACAAGCATCGGACTGTCCAGTGAGTCGTTCCTCACTGAAGAGCTGCAAACTGTGGAGTAAAGTTCGAAACTTTTTATTCAGAAGATGAAGAAAGTCTAAAAATGGAGATCAACCCATGTCATGAAACACAAAAAGTTTCCAACTTTGTAAGAAAGAAGATTGAAAGATCTGCGAATGCCAATTCTTTTAATCATTTTGCTAAACAAGTAGTTGAAATCGGCAGGTCAAAATCAATCAAAATCTCACAAGAACATCTTCTCTCTGTTGTCCCTTTTCAGGGTTTACGAAGATTACCTCTGAGAGGGACATCGAAAGCATAATTAGCAAGAAGCTCGCTGTCGCCGGAGATTCCATTGAGCCTCAGCAGCGTCGCGTTGTCCGTACCGAACTGAGCCGCGATTTTTTCGACAGAGCTTCCAGGTTCCACCACGTGGGCGTAATGAACAACATCCTCACCATCCACCTTGTCGCAGCTGCAAGGCAACGGAATCCACAGCCTCTGACCCACTTCGATGACGTCGACGTCCTTGATCCCGTTCACATCCCCGATGCTCTGGAACTGAACCAGCCCTCTGAACACGACCGACGAGATCCCGGACAAGGTGTCGCCGACCTTTACGGTGTATGTCGGGACGCGGTTGGAGATTCCCGTGCCGTTGGAGCAGGAACAGGGGATGGGGATTCTGATCGTCTGGTTCGCGCTCCATCGCTGGTTCCGTGGGGTGGAGAGAGGGAGATCGTTCGCGGCCAAGATAGACTGGAGATCCCTGGCGGAGAAGAGGGCTTGGAGGTCACCGAGGGTGGTCGCGTTCTGCGGCGCGAAACCCACGAGAGAGCTGCACGTGGCAGATCTTCCGCCGCCGCACTTGAAGCTTCCGGTCATTTCGGCGGCAGAGAGGTGGAGGAGGAAGGAGGAGACGGTGAGGAGAAGAGGGAGAAGGGTAAATCGGGAAACTCCCATTTTTTGTTTCTTTTTTTGGTGGGAGAATCTATTCTCTGTTAACTGGATGGATTTTGGGATATAGCCAGGAAGAAGAAGGGAGATGCAGAAGAGAAGAACACTGTGTAAAATATTTCAAGAAAATTCCAGGTTTTGAGTTTTGTTGACCAGAAGAAATGCTGAAATGAATTAATGGTAACATGAAAATTATTGAATGTGATAATAATAATAATAATTCAAACTTTTTTTAACCTTCTTCTTGTCCGGAGAGGTTTTCGTTGACCATTTGAGACACATTTTAAGGTTTATGTTGGGAAGAGCCATGCGACGGGAGTTTGTCGTAAGTGAAAAGTCAACTCCATATCTCCACAAATACCATGTTTTTTTGGAGTGATTCAGCCCTAAAACAAAAATTAAATTAGGATAAAATTTGCTGAAATATACTTAAAAAATACATTTTTGCAATGAGATTTTTCTTCTTCCGACTTTTGTAATGTATCCTTTTTCTATGGTTGAATTTGTAAACGGTTTTTATTTAATTCGCGTAAAGCGTCAACCTTGAGGATAGATCCATCATTTTCATCAGCGGATTTTCCTTAACAAAGTAAAGCCACTAAATTTTGTTCTCTTTAATCACAAATGATATTAATTATTCAAGAACTAATAATACCTCATGGTTTCGTATTTTGGACATTTAACGGGAGCAACAAATGATGGATTTGAGTTTGTAAAATCCCATTCAAAAAATATATATATATATATTATTCAATTTATACAGAATTTATGATATCAAGAGCTTAAAAACAATAGATACTTTTAACACATCTCATAGAACTGCAACTCATCCTCTCTGCACCACATACCAATGTGTGTATGTGTGTATGTGTGTGTGTATAGATCTTGATTTAGATCTTATCACCATATTCAACTGCCACTAGAGATTATATGAAACTAAGAGAGAAGACACAGGAAGTATCATGGTCTTGTCTTGTCGGTCCATAGATCACAGCTTCAACAACAACAACACAGTAATGTCATTAAATAATGACAAGAAAAATTTGATTAGTATTCAATCCTGGAAAAGTTTACACTATGGATTTATATGTATTATGTATTAAACCACAAGAGGTAATATGTGTGAGGGGCAAGAAAGAAAACAAACCACAAAAGCCAGAACTTGATGGATGAGATCCTTGCGTTCATTGCTCATCCAGTCTAGCCAGAATCGATTCCGCGAAGCTCTGTTGCCTGCCAGCAGAAGGAACGAACAGTCAGAGTTCCTGTCTACGAGTGACACTAGCCATTGATTCAGGTCTGTTGGCGAGATACATGCTCTCCTTCCAAGCCATGGCCCATTAAGTCAACAAAGATATAAGCTTGAACCTTTCCACATGTAGGTTGACAACTACAGGCTTTTGCATATACCCGTACGTTTATACCGATATGGTTCTAGATTCCATTGCCGAGAAAAAAGAAGCAAAAGACGTAAGCTTACTTGCGTTCTCTGTGCTTGGGGTTTGGTCGGGAATACTTCAAGTATCTGTCCCATGGAACCATTTTGAGACCTGCCCGAACAGATATCATGTCTCTCACCCTGTCAAACGAAAATACATGTTAATTCCCATATGACCAGATCTTTCTACCAGTGAAGAAACACCGTTTTTTTCATCTGGCAATTGCTTGCTCTGATGAATGTTCTAGAAAACGACGTTTTACCTCTCTGCAAATTCGATTGGTGTCTCTCCAGGCCTTGTGGTTTGGGGTTCCAAATACCACACATCACACACGACAGCCCACGATGTCACGAATCGGAGCAAGTGCATAGTGAACGACTGTCTGCACACAGCATCCACTATGTCATATCATTCCTGTGCTTACAGAGATGGCAAAACGGCCCACATTACTTTTGTTTTCTTCGCACGCCCACTATGGGTCAAGAAAAGGAACATAATTTTGTTAACTAGTTGAATGTTTCTTTATTTCCTTCATATGAAATATATGCACAAGCCAGTATTCTTACTTCCGGCTGTTCCAGAAGGCATCAACAAAAATCTTGTTGTACTTGATTGCAATTGGACAGACAGTGCAGCCAAGTTCAAAAGCTCCCCGATCATTGTGAAGAAGATGAGGGAGTCAGATCACTAATATCTGTAGACGATAAGATGTATTCGAAGCTAGGTCTGGAATACCTTCTTGAACATCACAGTATAATGATTATTTACACACGTCCCTTCAGGAAATATGAGAAGAGGATTGTTATCAGCCCCTTGAACATGCTCCCTTAACCTGAAATATGATACCCATGTTCCCACGATCAATGTGAGTAGAGTATGTACTAATGCTTTAAAGGACATTAAAATTTTACATACTTCCTTGCTACAATTTCACGATCCTTTGCCTCTGAACGATTGAACCAGATACATCCTTCGCTCTCTAATATGGTGCTTTGCAGCAGTCCTTTGTATTCAAGCAACAGAAGTCAGATAACAATTTTCAAAATGCACAAAAAGTAAACCAATCATTGCAAACCAAGAAAAAAATCTGCGATGGCATTGATCATCTACAAATTAGAAATAGCATTAAACATCAAGATTGCATCTTTAGGCAAAATATTACAGCAATAAGACTTACCAACCCAACCAGGATGCTTCTGCATTATGACGGCAAATGCAGTCATCTGCTCTACGACAATAAAATCGATCATCGAAGTATGGTTGGCAACATATATCTGTCCCGAAAATCATAGCATAAACATAGATCGATAAATACTCCTTAAGCAGATATAAACTTCAAATGGAGTAGACAAATGGGGGAAGGATAAGAAATTATTAAGAGAAAGTTTAAGTGGACTTGAGACCTGGCCAGGCCGAATGCTCGGTCGTGGCCCATGATACTTAACAACTCCAGTCCATGAGGCAACAAAGAAGCTGCACATCATCTCCACCAAGCACCTCTAATAATACAGGATGCAACAGTGAAAGGTTCATCAGCAAAGGATCAGGATTTGTGCTCCAGTACCAGGAAGGAAAAACGAAAAGGAAGAAGATATAGGAGAAAGCTATATCTATGAAATAAAACTTCCAGAAATCTAGATGGAAGAACAATGGAATATACAGTGAAAGAAGGCAAAAGAACAAAAATGAACTTATAAGGCAACGATAATCCGCACCTCTAACTTTTTCCTCAACTTATCCTGACCTTTCAGCAGATAATGCACAGGGATAAACGACGAAAGGAATATCATCCACCCAAAAGCGAACACTAAGCACCTGCAGATCTCAACGGTTAACAGCACAGATCAAACACAACAATGTAAGACTTAGCGTTTTGAGCTAAGGTGAGAATTGGATAATCATGCATGCGGGAAACAGGGTGCTACCCCTATCTCGTAACCATGAGATGACTACAAATTTGAAGGATCTTGATCTGATTGGATAATAAAGACCAATGTCTATGGTGTTCCTTGACAAACAAGATAAACCAACCTCAAGGGAAAGATAATCAAATATCTAACAACGACCCCGCAGCACCATAATGGAAACAAGTATACGTTCCAGTTCCAAGGTTCCGGCGGATTCGACTTGAAGCATCGTGTGAAGGAGTCCTGCCCATTCATCCCAACATTACTATTACCAGAACAAAAACTCGACCCAGAGGCGGATATCAATCAGATCATGCATCAGATTCAACGAGAAATCATGCATTTCCTGACCTCCAATGCCTCACCATCAAAAATCAATCTGACCCTTGTACGCAAATAATTGAAATATTGCTCGGAAAAATTCGTTGCAGAATGTTAAGGCATCCGAAAACAAGTCCCAGCTACACCGAATTTCGTGCAAAACATTCCAATAGAAAACATAGAAAAATTACGGGGAAAGTCGAAGTATCTTACATCAACAATGGCACCAGCAGCCTCAGTGAGCGTGGGAGAAATGTCGAGCAAATCACGCCTTCAAACACGACAACTAATAAGGAGATTGAATCAATCGAACACGAGTGCACACATCTAGAGGTAGAGGGGAAAGAGAGAGAGTATACAGGCGGAGCTTGCCGTGAGGTTCGTTAATGGAGGATCCAGAAGGAAGGTAATCTTCGATGTTAGGTCGATCCAGGTCGACCTCCGAGGCCGAAGCGACAAGCTTCCCCGCAGTGCCGGTCATCGTCTCCGGCGGAGCTTTCTGATCTCGGGTGGCCGTTAAATGTTCTGGTGAGCACGAAGAAGAAGTCCTCTCGATACGAATTGTGGATTTTCTCTCGCATTTTAACTCTTCTATACACACAACCCAGCGCATCCTTTCCCACTCTCCCTCTCTCGCGCGTGTGTTTCACCGCCATGCATGATGATGATGTGATGTCCCCCGTAATATTCTCAACATCGATTGCCCTCGAACTTATTTTATTGGGAAAAGGTTGCGTCCAAGAAACTATAACTTAATATAAAATTTTGACGGCTAAAACATGTAATAAAAATTTTCTGCCATGCTGTGAAATCTGTGGCTTGCAAAATAATCAATGTTGATATTATATATTAATTTAATTTGGAATATACCATGTAAAGTGGGACTGAGTCGGCTCACGAGTCAGAAGAATAAAAATTACTATTGCATCTTTTAAACATTTGGATTGGTTGGTGCTCGCTTCCAAATTCAAACCTTCTACCTCCGTCGGAGGTTTATGTTGGGTGGTAACAAACGAAATCTAATCCAGAAGATAACAAGCTGACGTGGCTAAACACACGTCAACTATTCTCTCTCTATCTCCCCCTCAACTTTTGTTTTCGCGTCCCTCCCTCTCTCTCTGACTCTCTGACCAGAAGCAGAGCCCTCGTATGGCGTCTTTCAGACTCCCCACTCAGCTCGCGACACGTGGCACTCTCAGCCACCACAACTCCTCCGCCTCCTCCGCTCCCGCCGGACGCCTCTCCTGGCGGCGATCTCTCTCACCGGAAGTCTTCCCCTCCACCTCCTCTTCCTCGTGTTCCTTTCACCGGAAAGTTTCGAACTTTGACGTGAAATGCAGCGCCGCCGCGGCGAATTTGGCTCCGGGGACGCCGGTGAGACCGACTAGCATTCTGGTGGTGGGAGCCACAGGAACCCTAGGGAGGCAGATCGTACGGAGAGCCCTTGACGAAGGGTATGATGTCAGGTGCCTGGTTCGACCCAGACCTGCCCCGGCCGACTTCCTCCGGGACTGGGGCGCCACCGTCGTCAATGTCGGTACCCACGAAATAATTTCGTATCTTTCCTTCGCATTTCACTATTTCAGTGCATTTTCGTATACCCTTTGATGTTTGGTGTCTGTGTTTGCGTAGGCGGATCTCAGTAAACCGGAGACAATTCCGGCGACTCTGGTCGGAATCCACACCGTTATCGATTGTGCAACGGGACGGCCCGAGGAGCCCATCAAGACGGTATGCGTCTGAGTTCTGTTTCGCATCTTGTGTCTGTGTGGATTTTGACTGATCCGTGTGTTAGGTTTAGGTAGATTGGGAAGGGAAAGTTGCTCTGATACAATGCGCAAAGGCAATGGGAATTCAGAAGTTCGTGTTTTACTCTATCCACAATTGCGACAAGCATCCCGAGGTTCCTCTAATGGAGATCAAGTATTGTACTGAGAAGTTTCTTCAGCAGTCTGGTTTGAACCACGTCATTATCCGGCTATGCGGCTTCATGCAAGTGAGTTTTGTCATGCGTATGTCCACATGATTGACATGTTCTAAATGCGTGAAGAAAACGTAATATAAGAGGTTCCAAAGGCGTAAACTTTTGTGTGTAGCTGAATCTCAATGCATTCTTTAGCGAGTAGCCTTCGAGCTTTACACCAGGTCTGAGTTCAAGAACTGTAAATTGAGGAATGGTTGTGCCCTCATTTGATTTGCTTTTCAAGGTGTTTTTTTGTTGTATGGTTCGAGTAAAATATGTTTCTTGCAGGGCCTTATTGGTCAATACGCAGTTCCAATTCTGGAGGAGAAATCGGTTTGGGGAACGGATGCTCCCACACGTATTGCTTATATGGACACACAGGTATAGATGCGTATACAGATTTCGTTCCAGGTATAAGCCTTGCGGGGAGGAAACACAGCGACTAATATGCTCTCCTGCTATATCAGGATATAGCTCGGTTGACACTTGTAGCTTTACGGAACGAGACAATTACCGGAAAGCTTCTCACTTTTGCCGGCCCTCGTGCTTGGACCACCCAGGAAGTAAGAACTAAACCCGTGTTTTCTGTCCAGAAGAAAATCCACTGCAGAAACCCTGAATTCAATCTCTCTTTCTGTGTCGAATCGTGCTGTGTGCAGGTCATAACCCTCTGCGAGAGACTTGCTGGGCAGGACGCGAATGTGACGACGGTTCCAGTTTCCGTCTTGAGACTCACCCGTCAGTTAACTCGGTTTTTCCAGTGGACAAATGATGTCGCTGATAGATTGGCCTTTACAGAGGTAAGAATAAGAGGGGAAAACGTTTGTTTCGGTTCACGATTTCGCATCAGACTCGGAAACATAGCATGCAGAAACAGAAACTGCAGTCTCTGCAATACGAGAATTCATCAGCTTAATTAGAACGTTGAGGCCCGATTAATCTCGCTAGTTTCAGGTTATGACTTATACGCTAAACATGTATATATATCCGATCCGATACACGTACAGGTACTGTCGAGCGACACAGTTTTCGCAGTCCCGATGGCGGAGACATATAGTCTACTGGGTGTGGATTCGAAGGACATAGTCACTCTAGAGAAATACTTGCAGGATTACTTCAGCAACATCTTGAAGAAACTGAAGGACCTAAAGGCTCAGTCCAAGCAAACCGACATCTACTTCTGACAAATCCCGAGCATGTCCGTAAGTTCCACACCGTAAAGCCTTTGTCTCATCTATACATTCAGTTCATATTTCTCTGTATTTCTTCTTCTTCGGCTCTGTATTCAGTTGATGTTGTTGCTGTAACTAAAATGGGTTAAGCTTGTGTAAACGCGTTAAGCTTAATGAAGGTGCAAAGCAAATGCTTGCTTGTATCCAAAAGCTAGGGTTTTTTGGTAAATTGTATATGATAATAAGTTAGAAACTAATACAAATTTCAATAATAAATATATATATGGAACTGGTTGCATTACAACCAACAGCACATGTACGAGTAGATATTATCCATTATAGAAAATACCATTCGGATCCAACATTGGTTGGCTTGCATGGATTTGGTGATGAATGAATGGTGACAATACATCAAATCTCAGAACAGAATAAAACGAAATATAAAATTTTAGGGGAATCTAATCATAGGTTGTATAGGTTTCTGTTCATCATCTAGCCTGTCTTGTCCACTGTCTTTTGTCTCTTTTCATCAATATTTTTATTTTTATTTTTTATTTTTTTTGGGTATAAATGTAATGAGTGAAATGGCATCAAACCTCGACACCACATTCCCACACCAGTGGCTATGACTGTGAGGTCTCTCCTCTCAGTTCAATCAATATATATATAATTCATAAATCAGATATATGAAAATGGAACTGTGATTTCTTCTTGACATCTTTGATCCAAATAAAAGAATGAAAAAAGGAATGATAGTTACAGGACAAAATATGATTCGTACAATAATGGTGTGGGATGATGATGATGATGATGATGATGATGATGATGATGATGATGAGATTGAAGTCATCTACCACCATCATTATTACTCATATAGAATAGAAAAAAAAATCTGGTATGGTGCTCTTCCCATCTTTATACATATATATATATATATATATATGTATGTATGCAGGTATCTATTATTTAGTTTATATTTATCTATTATTTGAAATTTATTTAAAAGCTATATTGCATATTTAAATTTAGTCAATAATGATCAATCATGTTTGGGCTTTCCTTGGATTCACGTGTTGCATGCAAAGGTCGGAAATCAGAGTTTATTTGAATATATTTTTTTATACATTGGTGAACCTATTATCATACAACCCTTCGGGTCAGACACCGAACACCGTATAATGTTTCATAACCCAATGGACCGGACGAGGACATCATTAGGACAGCATCGTGGACCAAGGAAAACCCCAAATTCACGCACACGAACCTGCAACACACACATGTAGGAGGTAAATCAGCCGTAATTAACAGAGACGACAGGTGAGAGATAAAGAGGCAGCAAGGAATCGAACCCTGACCTCATAGTTTTCCCCTATATATGTTCCTTAACCAACTCACATGGAGGGGGGGCACTGTATCTGCCGAAAGAGAAAGGAGAGAAAGTCAAAGTGATGGGTTCAAGTTTGAAAGTCCAACCTCTCTGCCCTTAAATCTCTTTTCCTTTTGAGGTTGCTTCAAAAGAATATCCTATCTCGATTTCATCATACATTCAACATTGCCCCTTAATTTTCAGATCCTCTTTCCGGCCATAAATTAATTTATTTACCATTTTTTTTTTCAAATACTTCACTCACTCATTAATTAATTATAATATATTAGCATTGTTTTTTCCATAGAAAGTCACAAAAAAGCCTCCACATATGGAATTTAAACGAGCCAATATGTAATGCATGTATGTCTACAATAAACGTTGGAGTCTCAGCCTCATGTGATATAACAAAAATAAATAACTTAATTATATGCAAATTTTACATGTAATATTATGTTACGTTTCTGCCATAAATTGTCAAGCTTCGTCTTTGGGGGAAAATGTCCAGCTTTGACTTAAAAAGACGCGCCTATTTTTTTAACATTTAATCTGATAAAACTGAATGATATTATTGTAATAATAAATAAATTGGAAAGTATATACATCCGATTTTTTAAAAAAAATATTTTGAAAAGATAAATTTTTTAATCTGTAAATAAATAAATAAAAAACTACATACATGCACCCACTTACGTGCGATGTGTATGTATATACGAGTAAATGGCATGTGTCATGTGCATGTACACCTTTTTTCCTTTCCCGAGTGAAATGTGCGTCACATGTCTCCTTGTCGTAGCCGGAATTAATTATTCATAGCCGGATTTTTTGTGTGTATATATATATATATATATATATGTATATAACAAAAAAGTGAAACTAATGTTTTCGAAATGAGGACGATGACAAGCGGATTCATATGGACGGTCGGCACGAAATCGCATAGGTTTAGATTGAGAGGACATTTCTATTTCTATGTATACATTTAAAGAAAAAACCGATAATAGCATAGCCAATCAATTTAATATGACAAGTAAAAAATAGTAAATATTCCACGTCAGCTCGGGCCAAGATGTGGAAGACGTCACGTCATGGAACATATAACTCTATTCTCTAACATTTCTTGATTTTTTTTTTTACTTCCTTACTCTTTCCCGAATTAATTACTTACTCGAACATATTCACTGTCTGTGTAATTTTTTTTTCTACTTATAAATAGATGTATTGCACATGTAGGTACGAGATATTAAATATTTACCACATAATACCTCATATTTTGATATCTAACTAATATTTGGATTCCCAAAAAAAAAAATATTTTCTCAATTACAATATTACGGCCACCAAAAGTAGAGAAGAGAAAAATAATTGTGTTTTTATTTCCAAATTTAATCCTTATTAATTTATTGTAAAGTAAAAAAATAATAATATTCTATCATTAATAAGGGTAATTACAAAAGGGTATTTTGGACAGAAGATTTTTTTCCTTAAAATATGTGTTTAGGGCCAAAAACAGAGGGAGTGATTTTTATATAAATAGCGTGGAGTTAAATTGTTTATTTTTAAAATGTGTCCTAGGGCAGACGCCAGAGAAAAATTACTGATTTTTTAGTATTTGTTCAATTTAGACATATTTTCAATTTTTTTACGAAAATATATTATCATTCTGTTTTTTCCTTGGGTATTAATGTGACGATATCGGTATCACATAATATAAATCTTCGTAGGATATTAAAAAATATAAAATGCTGACATATTGAGAATTATTGTGAAAGAAAATGAAATGCGAAAATATTATTAAAGAAAATAGACCGGAATAGATCTTATAAAAGCGTGGGACAACCTTTTTGATAAAAAAAAAGAAGTAATTATAGGCATATTAAAGTCAAGTTATTTGTTTCATTTGGTAAGAAGGTAAAAACAGGAGCTTTTTCAATTACGGCTAAAAGATCATAAATGCAATCTCTGACATAATTAATAATATTCACCGGTAGATTATTACTCCTCCATTTCAAAATATTTGTAATTTTAGATTATTTTCCATGTTTTAAAATATTTGTCATTCTACACTTTCAAGATATTTTTTTACAATAGTTTCCAATTTTATCCCTATTAAATTCCAATAAATTATTAATGATAACATTGTTTTTATCATTAAATAAGAGTATATGTGACTTTTTCTATTTTTTATTAAAAAACGTGAAATAACCTAAAACTACAATTATTTTGAAACGGAGGGAGTATCTTTCTAAATACCATTCATAATGATTTTTTTTTTCCAACTTCATTAGACGTGGGCACAAGTCACTACATGAACGTCTTAATTTTATCAAATCCATGATCAATCATGTTTGGGCTTTCCTTGGATTCACGTGTTGCATGCAAAGGTCGGAAATCAGAGTTTATTTGAATATATTTTTTTATACATTGGTGAACCTATTATCATACAACCCTTCGGGTCAGACACCGAACACCGTATAATGTTTCATAACCCAATGGACCGGACGAGGACATCATTAGGACAGCATCGTGGACCAAGGAAAACCCCAAATTCACGCACACGAACCTGCAACACACACATGTAGGAGGTAAATCAGCCGTAATTAACAGAGACGACAGGTGAGAGATAAAGAGGCAGCAAGGAATCGAACCCTGACCTCATAGTTTTCCCCTATATATGTTCCTTAACCAACTCACATGGATTTCCCTGGTTTATTTGAATTTCATGATCAGTGTATAGAAAATGGCTGGTCTATAAAGTCGTTGAATAAATATTGCAATAAAAGCTGTACAATTAATACCTGCATGCACGTGCCTATGTGTGTATATATGTATCATTATGTATATATGTGTGTATGTATTATTGCTTTATTATATATATATATATATATATATATATATATGTATACGTATATATTGAAGTCGTTGGTCGAGTCATGCGAATTTCATCTGAGCACTTTTCTTCCATAAAAACGGTCGCACACACGAATCTTGTTGCTTCATGGAAACATGAAACTTGTCATGTGGATGTGCGCGCACACATATTCTCATGCAGTGTCTACGTTCATAAATATATTCTCATACAGCTTATTATAAAATTAACATATGGAAAGAACGTTGACCAAATATCAAAAGTCATTGCATAAAATAAACCGGTTTGGTGAGGTTAATAATTGCGCCAAAGGAAAAGAAAAAACGAGTAATTAAAGTTTGAGCGACCAAACCAACTCCAAAAGTTTTGAATTGATTATTACTATTATTGTTGTAAATTTTGGTAATGTCTAATTTTTAAGTTACTATCGTTAATATATCTACACATATATTTTTTCAAAATATTTTTACCAAGTTGATTACAAAAAATTATTAGTTTAAATTAAAATAGATATAGTTTTTATATTATTTTTAGGTGCAAAATCATGTAAGCACGGAAAGTGGGTTTGTTTAGCAGTGGTGATCGATGTAATAAGAGAGTATGAGGGAGGTCATTTTGGGAAGATGATAATCCTTAAAACGGGTCAAACCTCCGGTCAAAACCAGAGAGGAATAGTAAGTACTTGCACGGTCTTTGAGCCTTGAAACAAAACTCTCGAATTTTCAAAGATCCATGCCTGAGTGCCTCCTCCAAGTACTGTCTTAAAAAGTTAAATCCCCCTTTTTTAAAAAAAAAAATCTTTGTATTGCATTCCCTTTAATTTCTCTTATTTCCTCATAATCCCGAAATTAAGTTGAAATTGGTCACGATAATTGGTAATTACCCGTAAAAAAAGAAAAAAAAGGAAAGAACACCGACGTATCCTCTCTCTCTCTCTCTCTCTCTGGTAGAAGCCGACGACAATCTCCGAGCTGGCAAGATTCCCTCTCTGTCCTTGTTGCTTTGGTTCTCTTAACTTTCCCTTCCTCTCGAGCTTGTCCCTTCATTTTCTCTCTCTTTCTAAACCCTAGAAGGTTAAAAAAACGGTGGAGGATTTTCTCGGGAAACGATCACTTCACTGTTTCCATCACCATCTCTGCCTCATGCGTCTCCTTGCTCTCTCCTCAACTACCTTCCAAAGTTCCTATCTTTTCATTTAAAATCTCCTTAATTTGATTATTCTTCCCCAATTTCAAACCTGGCTTTCTTTTTTTTTTAAATAGGTAATCTTTTTTTTCTTCTTCTTTCGGTTAGGCTGATGGGTTGTACGAGCTCGAAGCTCGACGATCTGCCGGCGGTGGCGCTATGCCGAGACCGGTGCGCGTTCTTGGAGTCGGCGATCCAGCAACGCTACGCTCTCGCCGAGTCCCACATGGCCTACACCCACTCCCTCCGGGGCATCGGCCCCTCCCTTCACCACTTCATCACCCACCACCACCGTCTCGCCGCTACCTCCGGCGGACCCTCCCGCCGCAGAGAAAGGGCGACCCGGAAGAAGACGGCGGTGGCGGTGGCGGTGACGATTCTCCGAAGAAAGAGAAGTTACCTGTTCATCATCGATTTCGCCCCTCTCACTCGGATTCGGGTTCGGGTCATCTCGAATTCGATTCGGATTCTGATGAGGAAGACGAAGAAGACGATGATTTGGGTTCACTGCATCATCATAACTCCGATCATTCATCTCCTCTCCATCATCATCACCAGCACCATCTCGGCGAGGGTTCTGCTCCAATCGGGTACATGGACCCGGGTCTTTCCCGATACCCGAACCCGGGAATGATGGGTCCTCCCGCTCCTTACCCTGGCGGCGGGTTTGTGCACATGAACTACATGAAGAACAAAGCCACGCCTCCATCGGTGGTGTATGAGCAGAGACCCATGAACCCTCAGAGAGTTTACATGGGCGAATCATCATCGTCTTCAACCTCTGGTTATTATCCTTACCCTTACCCTCCCAATTCGAATCCCTCGAATTTCCCCTATTTCTCTTACCCGAATTACCCCGCCGCACCCGGACCCGGATTCTACGGTTCTTCTTCCCCGCCGCGGTATGGGTCTTCGCCGCCGAGTGGTGCCTCTTCTTCGAAGCCACCTCCGCCCCCGCCATCGCCGCCGAGGCCTTCGGCTTGGGAATTCTTGAACCCGTTCGATACGTTTGTCTGCATTCCTGATTTGGAAGAGGATTTTCAGCACGAGGTTGTGAAGGAAATGCACGGAGATCAGACATTCGTGCCCCCGAAGCCCGCCGTCAACGACGCGGAGGATTCCGGCAAAGACGGCGGCGGAACTAGCGGCGTAGGAGGTGTTGGTGAGGCCTCTCTCTATCAGTCGAGACCGAGCGTGTCGGTGGAGAACCGGGGGATGGAGTACGAGGTACATGTAGTGGAGAAAAACGTTGTAGAGGATGCTGGTCGGAATGAGGAGAGGCGGAGCAATGCGGCGGCGCGTGGAGGGGGAGGCGAAGGAGGGGGTGGTCCACGTGCGGTGCCTGAGGTTGCGAAAGAGATAGAGGTTCAGTTCGTGAGAGCTGCAGAGTCCGGGAGTGAGATTGCCAAAATGCTCGAAGTGGGCAAGCATCCTTACGGTCAAAAACACGGTAGCCCCTTGTCTTTGTTCTTGTAGTTTATATAACTTGTGTCAATGCAGAGATTATGGTGTTTATCACCATAATCATCATTGAAAGTTCTCACCTTTCTGCAACTGAAACGTATAAATCTCCATTTTTGTCTATTATATGCTAAATTGGTCTGTGAATTTCATGTTTTGAGCTGCAACAGGATCCAAGATGTTACACGGTGTCACTCCATCGCGATCTGTGGTATCATCTCAACCCTCTACCTCCACCAGAAGCTCAGAACCTTCTTCTTCTTCAGCTGGGCCGACGTATGCAGAAATCGAGGAAGAGATTGCTTCTAGGTCACGAAATCTTTCATCGACACTGCACAAGCTCCACCTCTGGGAGAAGAAGCTTTACCATGAAGTCAAGGTGTGTGTTTTGAACAAAACGCATGTCCTGTTTTACACTCTTCCCCTCTCTTTAGTTATAGATTTTGTATGTTTATTGTGTAGGCCGAGGAAAAGTTGCGTGTAGCCCACGAGAGAAAGTTGAGGAAGCTGAAGCGGCTGGACGAAAGAGGAGCCGAGGCTCATAAAGTAGATTCGACACGAACCTTGGTTAGGAGTTTGTCCACGAAAATACGGATTGCCATTCAGGTGGTTGACAAAATATCAGTGACCATTAACATGATAAGAGACGAGGAGCTATGGCCACAGCTGAATGAATTGATCCAAGGGTAAGCTAATAGGACTAGGCAATATATGTTTGTGAAACGACATCATCGGTTTCAGATATCGATTTCTCGTTTTGTTTTGCAGGCTTACCAGAATGTGGAAATCGATGCTTGAATGCCATCAAAGCCAATGCCGAGCTATCAGGGAAGCAAGAGGGTTAGGCCCGATTAAATCCGGCAAGAAACTCGTCGATGATCATCTCGAGGCTACGAGGATGCTCGGACACGAACTGATTAACTGGATATTGGGATTCTCGAGCTGGGTCAGCGCGCAGAAGGGCTATGTAAAAGCCTTGAATAATTGGCTTCTGAAGTGTCTTCTCTATGAACCCGAGGAAACGGCCGATGGAATCGCTCCTTTTTCGCCCGGTCGAATAGGGGCTCCCCCGATTTTCGTAATCTGTAACCAGTGGTCGCAAGCTTTGGATAGAATATCCGAGAAGGAAGTTATCGAGGCTATGCGCAGTTTCACAACGAGCGTGCTTCAGCTCTGGGAGCAAGACAGGCTCGATATTCACGAGAGGATGTCGGAAAATGGGGATTCGGACAAGAAAGTTAGGAACTTGGACCGAGAGGAACAGAAGATACAGAGAGAGATCCAAGCTTTGGAAAAGAAAATGGTCCTCGTGGCTCCCAGCCATGGCAGTAATGACCTCTCAGTATCGGGTAACGCAGTCTACCGAAGCGAAACGGGCAACGACAGTTTGCAGGGAAGTCTCCGACGGATTTTCGAAGCTATGGAGAACTTCACGGCCGAATCCACGAGGGCTTACGAGGATCTCTTGCAACGCGCCGAAGAAGAGAATGTCTCACGAGACTGATAATAACAAGCACAGAAGAAGAGATCGAACAAGGAATATTCACTGGTCGTATGGACATGAACCTATACCGGGGTTCTCGAAGATATGCTCGAACAGGATGATCATCTACGTCCAGTGTTTGAAGAAGGTATTATACGTAGAAAGATAAACATATACGTATACAGATACCGTATTTTTCAAGCTCCGGTTCGGATCAAGATACGACTCCAGAGACCGCGAACTGGGACGAGGGAGACGAGCTCGACTTTCAGGTTGCATATCATCGTTCGAAAGGGCAAATATTTTGGCCATCGAAATGAGTGTGTATATGTATGTATGTATGTATGTATGTATGTACGTATATATGTACTGAAAACCTCGTCCATGTACGTATCTGTCTTCGACAATTTTTATTTGCTCGGTGTACATAATAAAGATTCGGAATTGATTTTCCTCGCAGATTCTGGAAATCCGTAACAGCCCGGAAGATTTATTTTGATTTTTTTCATGATGAACTGACCAGGTGTTGAAATTCTGATTTTATTCGATTCGTTACCGAAAAAGTTATCGAAATTCTGATTATATTATCTACATAATAGATTTTGATAATTAATTTGTTGTTTTATGATCACAGTGGTATGAGAATAACTTGAACCCTATCCAGAATTTTTACAAACGTTTCTGGAATTCTCAAGAGAAAATAAAATAAAATAAACAAAAAAGTATAGGGTTTAAATTGTGAGGAAGAAAAAGTACAGGGTTTTTATTGGGATTTTCCCAAATATGTAATAAATTCAGGTAAATGTCATTTTTTAAAAAAAAAAAAGTTGCATAAAAACCCAATCACGTTTTGTAATAAATAAAAGCATGAAATGAAACCCAATCATCATTTTTTTTCAATGATAATAACCTCAAATTTCATGTGAACTGACAAAACGGTCCATGCTTCTCCGGCTGGCGGCCGCACCAATTCTCGTCTTCCAGTTGCCGTGCCAAACATGTTTAACGTGAATATGACGGACGTCTCAATATACATTCGAATTTTGGCTTTTATTTAATTTTTTTCTTATTTTTATATTTGATTATTTCAATTTATAAAAAGTTATATTTATATGTACAGATATATGTTATTGGACTAGATTTGTTTAGGGTAGAATTGAAATTAGTTATGATAGGTCCGAATATATACCCTAGATTTTGAATAAATTATGCTCAAACATATGATCCAATAGTATTTAATAACATATAATAAAGACTACAGAATGAGATAGTGCTCGAGCATCTAATCATAAAAGCCATTTGAAACACTGACACATATTTATTTGAGAATATTGGGTGGGGGATGACCCATTTTCACATTGGTTATATATATATATATATATATGCAAATGCCCCAAGCATGGGTGGTTAAAATGCGAGTGAAAATTATTTTGGAAATAATATAGTTGAATTATATGGATTGAATTTTAGATGGTATATATAAAAAATTAGAATTTTCAAATATTTCAATATAGATTCAAATAATGTATACAAAGTTAAATAAATAAAGGATAAAACATATTGTTATTATAATCATTATGATGTACAGATTTTTTTCCTCTCCCTCAATCATGATCTGATATATTTTGTAAAAAAGTTATTTGTTGGGTATCGAATTATTTAGAGCTGAGATAAGCATACAAAACATTTCGACCGACTAAGCAATCATGTTTTAAGTATGAACACATTTTTTTTTGGTCAAACAAAGTATGAACAATTGTGTAATTTGTTTAGAATTTTAATAATCGTGTTCCCGAGAGAAAAACGCTGCAAAAAAAGTATATATATATATATATATATATATATATATATAATGTCACATTGGTAAAATATCAAATGAAATTTCTAAAATATCTTCAATTAATATACTGTTTTTTTATTTTAAAACTATGTTATATTTATGCTGAAAACAGTAAAATCAGAATTTATCATAAGATACTGCGTCGGATAATACAACAGCACCTTTATTGTGATAATAATAAAAATCTAAAATAACATTTATCTGAAAAAATAAATAAATAGAAAACGTATATGAGAACCCTTTTGTTGTGGTGAAAGCTTGATAGGTCACCCCCCTCCTTCCCCAATCAACAACTTGAGCTGGCAGTGTGACCTGTGATTTGCTTTCTCTTGGTACCAAATGCGAATCATATACAAATTATATATAAAATATATATGGGTTTGGCTTTTCAATTTCAGTGCTCACCAAAGCAAAGCTCCCGTATGAAAAATATGCATCATTTAATTTATATTTTAAGCCATAACAGTTGACCTCTAAAGGCATATGGGAGAGGAAAAGATAAGGAATAGAAAGTGAAAAGCCCTTTTAACGAATCCACACGTTATGTTCGGAGGAAGGATGAAGGACGGTAATAAATTGATGATGATCTGTGTCTTAATGGTAAGAAAATCTCACGCAAGATTTTACTGATGCCATTTTAAAAAAAAAAATCAGACTTTTGTCTGTGTTTTTTTTTTTTCCTTTTAGATTTTAGATTTGGTTTCTTCTACCATAATGACAACTAGGAGACACTGTCTCAGAAAACTAACCTCAAAGTCCAAAGAAGCAAAGATTAAAGATCCAATTTTTATTTCTCCACCACTACCTCTCCTCTTTCTCTGTCGAGGAACCGGGAAGAAGAACACTTTCTAAACTCGCTTTGCCCGTGAGAGAGAGAGAGAGGGAATCATGGGTTGTTGTCAATCATCGATTTTGGGGCAAGACCCACTTCGGAGAGACCAAACCCAGCAGCAGCAGCAAGTGGCGCAGCACCACGTGGTGATTATGCCTGACTCGACAACGGTGGAATCGGCGGCGGAGGAGGAGTCCCGCCGTTCTCGGAGTTCTCGTTCGCCGACCTGAAGGCGGCGACCAACAACTTCAGCTCCGATAACATCGTATCAGAGAGCGGCGAGAGGGCCCCCAATCTTGTCTACAAGGGCAGGTTGCAGAACCGCCGTTGGATCGCCGTCAAGAAGTTCACGAAGATGGCTTGGCCTGATCCTAAGCAGTTTGCCCGCTCTTCCTGAAAATTCCTTCGAACTGATCGATTTTTGCTTCCGGATTCTGCATAGAACTGCAAATTCGTGGGTGTTTTTTTTTTCAATTTTCAGGAGGAGGCATGGGGAGTGGGGAAGTTGAGGCACAAAAGACTGGCGAATTTGATAGGTTATTGCTGTGATGGAGATGAAAGGCTTCTTGTTGCTGAGTTCATGCCGAATGATACTCTTGCTAAGCATTTGTTCCACTGTAATGGTTCTGGCCCTTTCCTTTTCCATTCTTCTTTCTGTTTCCCATAGATTCGGGTGGATCTTCTCCTATGCTTTTAGGTTGGATAAGTTCGAGTTGAGTGAGTTTCCCATGGATTTTGGTGGATCGTTTCCATGCCTTTTTCTCTGAGAAACATTTATACAAAGATCTGATTGGCATTTCTTGTTTTGTGAATTCATGGATGTTAATGTGATCTTCTTTGAACTGAACTTTTGGGCATTTTCTTGTTTTGTCACCCGCAGGGGAAAATCAAACCATCGAATGGGCAATGAGGTTGCGAGTAGCTTATCATATTGCAGAAGCTCTGGATTATTGTAGTAGCGAGGGTCGGCCCTTGTACCACGATCTGAATGCGTACCGAGTTCTCTTTGACGAGGTATTATTCTCTTTCGCGCATAAATGTTTTACGAAATGTGCCGAGTCTTTGATGTTTAAACCGTATGCTTGATGGATTAAATATAGGATGGTGATCCCCGTCTTTCGTGTTTTGGCTTGATGAAGAACAGCCGGGATGGTAAAAGTTACAGCACGAATCTCGCTTATACGCCTCCTGAATATCTAAGAAACGGTATATCAAGTCATGAAACTTTCAACATTTCAAAAGTGGATTTGTTCGACAGATTAAGGAGTAACTAACAGTTTATATATTACCGTGTTCTTTCCTTTTACCCCCCTCTCGGATGTATCTATCTCATTGTTGGCAAAATCTTCTGCGTTGTAGGAAGAGTGACCCCTGAAAGTGTTATTTACAGTTTCGGCACCGTCCTTCTGGATTTGCTTAGCGGAAAGCACATCCCTCCGAGCCATGTAAGCTCTCTCCATCTATTCGGATGACAAAAGACATATGCCTTTGTTTCAAGTATAGAGCCTTTCTGCTCATTAGTGTGTGATGACCTGATGTTATATTCCGATACAGATTATGGAGAGATTTTGGTTTCTAGGAAATTAAATGGAGTTTTTCCATTCCGGGTTAGCTCATAACTAGCTTGAACTGGACACAGTTTCTGTGTCAGACTGATAGTTGTCTATAATCCGCTAGATCGCTGCTAGGACCGTGTTCCACTTGTTTCAATGTCACACAACTGGTATGATGCTCCTTTTCTCGGCGATTCTCACGAAACAAACAAGCTCAATACCGATCTTGATACTCCCACTGTTCCTCATAAGCTTAGCGGTGTAACGGTTAACTACAACACATGATGATTCCGGCATCTATTAGCCGATACCTCTTTGTTTCCAGATTTAGTATAATTAGTATGGCACAGATAGGAAGATTGTTGATACTGTGCATGGTTTCGTATATCTTGAAAGAGGTGCACGTTCATGGTTGTATATGTTCGAGGGGTGTGGCATACAAGTGAATTGTTATGGGCGCTAATCAACTGATATCTTTATATGGTTATAGGCTCTCGATATGATACGTGGCAAAAACATTATCCTGTTGATGGATTCGCATCTCGAGGGAAAGTTCTCCACGGAAGAAGCTACAGTTGTTGTTGAACTTGCCTCGAAGTGTTTGCAGTATGAGCCAAGGGAGAGACCCGATACGAAGGATATCGTCTCAACACTTTCTCCCTTGCAAACTAAATCTGATGTAAGGAACTCAGTATATGTTTTTCTGCGTTTCGATCTTTCTCACCAAACCTCTTGTGGCAGGTCCCGTCTTATGTAATGCTAAGAATCACAAAACACGAGGAGGCGCCTTCCACCCCGCAGCGTCCACTTTCACCGTTGGGAGAGGCATGTTCAAGAATGGATCTCACAGCCATTCATCAAATCTTGGTCATGACACATTACAGGGATGATGAAGGGACAAACGAGGTATGAGACTCAAGTGTCCCTGAATATTTCGCTTTAAGAACTAATGCATTAAGAGCTTTGCTTGTTTTTTCAGTTATCTTTCCAAGAATGGACACAACAGATGAAAGATATGTTGGACGCTCGGAAACGTGGTGATTATGCCTTCCGGGACAAAGATTTCAAGACTGCCATTGACTGTTACTCGCAGGCATGTCATCTTCCATCTGCATCTGCTTTCGCTTTATCTGCTGCATAAGACATGAACTCATTCATTCAACCATTCATGATGTATATCGGTTGTGGGTTTCTTGTCCTACCGCAGTTTATAGACGTAGGAACAATGGTGTCACCGACCGTGTTTGCAAGGCGTAGTCTATGCTACTTACTGAGCGATCAGCCAGATGCAGCCCTCCGAGATGCGATGCAAGCTCAGTGCGTGTATCCCGACTGGCCCACCGCCTTCTATATGCAGTCTGTGGCTTTGGCCAAGCTGAACATGCACACTGATGCTGCTGACATGTTGAACGAAGCAGCTCTCCTCGAAGAGAAGAGGCAACGAGGCGGGAAAGGATCATGAGCTTTTCGAGGTTCTTCTATGGAGGAGAGAATAAGTACATGTTCAGTTTCCCAATTTGCTGCTCCTGAGAGAGGCTTCTGAGAAATCTGTTGTAGAATCTTTGAGCCTGAGAGAGGAACTGAAACCGAAACCATGGTCTGTTGCTTTTGTTGATTGGGAATGTGAAAACAGGGGGGATGAGATGTTTGTTGTATTGTATCCATTCAAAAATGTGCATTTCTTCCGATCTCTTT